CATCCCCCAACACGAATGACGTTGAGCTGGCCACTCCCACCCTTCCCCACCCCCTGAATTCCACAAATGAAATTCACCTGGCCCCGGAGATGTAATTGGATGGTTGTCAACTCATAAAATATTTCTATGGTCTTTTTAAAGTTGCCAACAGAAAGGGAGGGGGTGGAGCAGTGGGCAGCTTGCGTTCCATAAATGTTTTCAAAGATAGTTTCTAGGTGACCGAAGTTTATGCTGTGCAAAATTCTAATTGGAGAGTATGTTTGATGACTCTTGGCGATGGAGGCATCCCATTGGAGAATATGAATTGTGATACACCCAAGGGGTGGGGGAAAACCAGGGTCAAGAGTGACAATGAATGATGTGTCTCAGAGTCGGCTACACCCAGGCACCGCCGGCATGTTTACTCCTAATAAATCTTCTTTAAGTTTTGGAAGTTGGGCTAGAGACTCATGATTAAAATGGGGGTAACTGTCGGAGCCCTGACAGTGGTTTCAAATAAGAGCAGGCCAGTGATCAGCCTTTGTGACTTTCTGCATTTCCTCCTCATTTGACAGCACCTATATCCTCTTTTACGTGAGAAATCCCACTGTAAGATAGTGAGCAATTGCATGTACATTTCCCCCCCACAAGGCAAACGTGTTTCGGTTTCCAGGTGGCTTTATAAAATCCCCTGACTTTCGCAGAATGTGAGGCGCTGGTTATAATAACACAGGATGATGGATGATGTTTTGCTAAGGTTGCTGTTTGGACATAGCAGGACAGTTAGATCTTGAAAATAAAGTATTATTTGGGAGAAAAAGTTCTCAACAAAGCACTTAGGCAGCCTTTGAAAATAAATAGATGAGAAAAGAGCTTGTTTTCAAAACTGAAATATGGTATATGAAAACAATAACAACCCACTGTTCTGGAAAGTAAAATCCTTCAGAAGAGGCCATATTTTTGCCCAACCATCTAAACCCCACATTCCTAGTGCCTCATGACTAATGCTCCATCTTTTAAAATTGATTGAACTTCAGTCAAACAATTACATTATTTATGTTAATGACATTATAAACATTGCTTTGCAGGCCCTAGTCTTCTTTCCTTCCCCCAAACCTCATTCTCCGCTTCTTTCCATATTATATTATATACTGTTTCCTCCTTCTTGTAATAACCGATTACGATCATGTTTCATTAAAGGGAATACTGTAGTCCTTGACTTACAACCACAATTTATGTTGCTAAGTGAGACATTTGCTAAGTGAGTTTCTCCCCATTTTACGACCTTTCTTGCCAAACTCGTTAAGGGAACCACTGCAGTTGTTAGTAACCTGATTGTTAAGTGAATCTGGCTTCCCCATTGACTTTGCTTGGCAGAAGGTTACAGAAAGTGGTTGTTAGGGATACACCCTAGCAGAATCTGCATGGGAGTCAGGCAGGCAGGCAACATATGTGAGATAAACGTTTTTGTAGCTTACACTCAGTAAAACAGATACACTGTGCTAGTTAAATAGTTTATTCCAGTAATAGTTTTAGCATAGTTAAACAGTCCATATATCATTCACTAATTCAGTCCGTCCGGGGATTATTCAGTTGCAAAGTCCAGTGTCGAAAAAGAGGTCAGTAAACTTACAAATATCAGTCCAGTAATATATCTCCTCGCAGTAGAGATATGAAAAGTCAGACCTCCTTTCTTCCTTCAGCAGCAGGGAACACGCAGTTAGCAAACCATCAATCAGGCAAAACAGCAAGCGTCAGCAAGCGTCAGGTTCTCTTGCTCCCTCTTATGGCGGTTTCACACCGCACCCAAAATTACATGCTTTGCAATTTAAAGTGACACACACTTAAACTTACTATCATAGTTTATATGTATTATTTTACCCAAACTTGTTATTCCTAACAGTGGTCACATGACCCCAGGACACTGCAACCGTCATAAATACGAGTCAGCTGTCAAGCATCTGAATTCCAGTCACATGACCATGGGGATGCTGCAGTGTTTGTAAATCTGAAAAACAATCATAAGTCACTTTTTTTTCAGTTCCATTGTAACTTCAAACTGTCACTAAATGAACTGTTGTAAGTTAAGGACTATCTGTACTTTCCGATTACACCACTCCCCATTCCATCCTCTGAGGATCTCACCCAACCATCCAGGGAACCCATGTATTTCATAGCTATGCACTTAAGACTGCTCACCAGCTAGGCATGAGATCTCTGGAAAGGGATGGTTTTCTACTTAGAGAACTTTCCTGATCTGAATGCCCAAGGCTAGTTTAACAAAAAAAAGTGTTGCATAACATAGTTTTGTCATGGATGGAAAGCAACAGTCCTGAAGATATAGGATAACAGATAATCAGAGCTGGAAGAAACCTTGTAGATCATCTAGTCCAACCCCCTGCCCAAGCGGGAGACCCTACACCATTGCTGACAAATGGCAGTCCAATCTCTTCTTGAAAGTCTCAAGTGATGGCGCTCCCACAACTTTCGAGGGCAAGCTGTTCCATTGGTTGATCGTTCTCACTGTCAGAAAGTTTCTCCTTATTTCCAGGTTAAATTTCTCCTTGTTCAGTTTCCATCCATTATTCCTTGTCTGGCCTACAGGCACTTTAGAAAATAGCTTGACCCCTTACCTCCCTGTGGCAGCCCCTCAAATATTGGAAGACTGCTATCATGTCTCCCCTGGTCTTCTCTTTACTAGACTAATCAAGCCCAGTTCCTGCAACTGTTCATTGTATGATTTAGTCTTCAGTCCCCTAATCATCCTGGTTGCTCCTCTCTGAACTTTTTCTAGAGTCTCAACATCTTTTTATAGTGTTTTTTTAGTGTCTTTTTTATATCACTTGCTGTCTTGCTCCACCTAACGGTAGCACTGGCCCTTTTTCACTGGCAAGCAGGAATATGGAAAGACAGCAAATGCTTTTAGGAGGAAAAACATACTTGAGTGAGGTGATACAGAATGTGTGCTTTGTGGTTCTGCCTTCTCTGTTTTAATTTATTTATTTCTCAAATTTATTTTTTTATATAAGTTTTTATTTTTCAGTTTCAAAAATACATACATTCCATTTCTTTCCTCAAGCAGTGTGTCATCCAGGCACAAGCTCCTTTGTGCTACATTTTCACCATTTACAACTTCTTCACGTTCACATTAAAGTTATTTCTCTAAACTTAGAATTAAGATACATCAAACGGCTAAATGTGCACTTATACATGCCTCTTACAGACCTCTTAGGAATGGGGTGAGGTCAATAGTGGATAGTTTAAGGTTAAAGGAGTGGGGGGTTGGAGGATGTAACAACAAAGTCAGGTAGTGCAGGGGTCCCCAACCACCGGTCCCTGGACCGATACCGGTCCGTGGAACAATTTCTACCGGGCTGCTGGTTTGCTGGGCACCGCCATCTTGTTTTGATGAAAAAGTGCTTCCGGTGAGCTTTTCCAGGTAGAAAGCGGCGTTTGGGTGCTGAAAGAATCCTCGCGCCTTAGTTTCATTGGGGGGGGGGGGCGGCTTCGAACAAAACTAAGGCGCGAGGATTCTTTCAGCACGCATGGCAAGGCGAGCCGAGCGACCGTCCCGAAGCCGTCGCGAAGCCCATCGACACAGGTACAAAGGAGTTGAAGGTGGCGGGGAGAAGTGGGGGACGGCTGGCTGGCTGGTCGCTCGGCTCACCTTGCCATGCGTGCTGATGCCGGTACCGGGCCGCGGGTGATTTTGTGATGCCGGTACTGGGCCGCGGCACAAAAAAGGTTGGGGACCACTGAGGTAGTGCATTCCAGGCATTGACCACTCTGTTGCTGAAGTCTTACTTTCTGCAATCAAGTTTGGAGCGGTTAACATTGAGTTTGTATCTGTGGTGTGCTCTTGTATTGTTGCGGTTGAAGCTGAAGTAGTCATTAACTGGTAGGACATTGTAGCAGATAATTTTGTGTACCACGCTTAAGTCCAACCGTAGGCGGCGTAGTTCAAGGTTGTCCAAGCCCAAAATTTCATGCCTGGTGATATAGGATATTCTGTTGCAAGCAGAGGAGTGTAGTACTCTTCTCGTGAAATACTTCTGGACTTGCTCAGTTGTATCAATGTCAGAGGTGGTATTCAGCATGTTCTGACCAGTTCTGGAGAAATTTTGAGTAGTTCAGAGAACCGGTGGTAACCTTCCACCTGGAGTGGGGAGGGAATGGAGATTTTACAGTATCCTTCCCCTGCCACGCCCACCAAGCCACGCCCATAGAACCGGTAGTAAAAATGTTTGAATCTCACCACTGATTAATGTCCTAACCTTAATATGATATTCTGGCTCTTAAGTAGCTGGGATATCCTTGGCCTGTGTGAAACAGTGAGTTTCAAAAGATATTAATTGGATTCTTCAGTGAGACCATTGTAATGTTACAGTATAATTCCTCCCTCCCCCATGCTCCACATCATATTCATATATACCCTGTACAGATCGTCCTTGACTTACAACAGTCCATTTAATGACCGTTCAAAGTTACAAAGGCGCTGAAAAAAGTCATTTATGATGTTTTTCCCCACACTTACCACCATTGCAGCATCCATGTGGGTCACATGATCAAAATTCAGATGTTTGGCACCTGACTCATATTTAAGACAGTTGCGGTATTTTGTGGTCATATGGTCACCTTTTGTGACCTTCTCACAAGCAAAGTCAAGGGGAATCCAAGTTCACTTAATAGCCATGTTACTAACTTAACAACTGCAGTAATTCACTTAACAGCTGTCAAGTGCAAGAAAGATCTAAAATGGTCAAAACTCCCTTAACAATTGTCTCGCTTAGCAACAGAAATTTTGAGATCAATAGTGGTCGCAAGTCGAGGACTCCGTATAACCTGCAGTCATCAAAGAGTGTACAGAATGAATACGAATATGAATGCCATTGTGCCCATAATTAAAATATGACCAGTATCCTTTGCAATACTAAGGGCTATAATCCAAATGTTTAAAATGGACAGGGCTTTTTCTAAGTGAAAAGGTGACAAATCACTAGAACAACACCTGAAGAGGGTTCAAATGTGTTTATTATCTTTATCAAATAATATAACAAATATAATTGCTTTCTGCCCTGCGCTACAAGCTACAAATGCTAATAGGGTTGATTTTCTTCTTAATGAAAGAACAGAAACAGCTTTATTATCCTCTTCTGCTCCTGAGCCTATTCTACAAGGCTCTGTAGCTTAAATGGGCCTTCTTTTTGATTTATGCTATTGACTTCACTTAGTAGATCGTGACTATGTCAGTATAATGCATGATTACTTCTGATTGATTGGATGGGGTCAATAGTAATTTAGTATATAACCATCCTGGCTTGTTTAGAACAGCACAGGTACGTTTGAGCTCTGATTGCACTTATGGGATCATAATATGTCAAAAGAGGTATGGCTGTAATTAAGATGGTCAATGCTGTTTATTCTTTATCTTATGTAAACGCCTCAACTGATCAAAGCTATAATAGGCAGGAAAAATTAAATATTCATGAACCTACTTGCTGACTTGGAGTATGGAATATAAAAGGAATAAATGATAAAGAGCATGAATTAATAAAGTTAACTAAATTAGATTCTTCATGTGTTTGTAAAATTAAGAGAAAAGGGAAGGAATTAATAGATCTGAACACGTTTGCCTGATTTTACGGAGTTCAGCTAATGCATGTGTGCAAGAAAAGGAAGGTGTAGGTTTAATCATGAATGAAAGGCTGAAATGTCTACCAGAAAGAATGAATTAAATCTCATGATGTAGGTCATTCTAAGAGTGTAAGAATTCCTAGAAAGGTAACAGTTGTGATTTCTGGTTAAGGTTCCATGATTAAGTAGATATCTCTGAAGGCACGGGGATGGCATTGTGGCAGAGATTGATGACCTGGAAAGAAACGTGAGATTGCCCACCTACACTCCGGACAGTTGCTCCTCAGGAGGAGACCACAGAAACAAGAAGAGAAAGGATCAAGAGTGAATGGGGGCTGAGAAAATCTGAATAGAAGAGTGAGTAAGCAGTATGAAAAAAAGTGTATTGAGATGGTTTTGCCATACAAACACAATGAACGTTGCTGAACGATTTTACGAAAGAAGAGTTAATGGAAGGAAAAATGAGAAGTTTGGCATTTAAAGAACAAAAGTCTGTACGGATGGTTTGCAAAGATGGAAAGCTATGGAGAGGTATAATGAACAGTGCTACTTCTACAAAACTACGTTTAATTAGAGTTGTTTCTTTTATCTCCTGCCTTTAATTTCTTCTGCTTATTACTTCCTACTCTTTGCACATTAAATAGAGCTGCTTGTCCTGAAAGTGCACAGCTTATGAGTACGGATGAGTGTCGGACCTCACTTAAAATAAAGCAGAAGGCAAATGCTTTGCTTTCACCATTGATTTAACAAAATTTAGATTTTTGTGTTGAACAAGTGTCCTACTCTCTTAAATGTAATGCTTCGTGTTTTCTTTTCCAAACGTTCTCTTATCGCATAATCTTTGGTAATGTTCCATTGTTCCTTTGAAGTTGGGCTATGCTCTTCACTCCACTTGCCCTGAGATGAGAGAAAATGAAGTTTTCATTACTACTTGTCAAACGCATATTATATAATGCTGTGTGGTTTGTCCAAAACAGGTACTTTCTATATTTACCTTTTTGCATGCATGTTTTACTATTAGCTTAAATTTAAGAGATGAGGCAATGGACGCTTCTCTCCTTTAGGACATAAAAATGCAAGTATTTTTTAACATTTACTGATATGCTTGAAACCACTCTCTGAAGCTTAGGATTGTTCCTCTCTATCAAATGCCACATTCACAATGAAATATTGGCACTATTTTGGCAAATATTTATATTTTTCCACAGTCAAGAAGGATCAGTAATCTTATAGCATTATCCCATGCATGTCTACACCAATGTTTGTGCTTATAGGAACAACTATCTTTTGTAAAATGCTTCTTGCATTGCAACAAATTGCAAAACTTTTATGGGGAGGTACTATTTAAACTCTAGTTTAAATGCAGTAAATTTAGTATTGAAGAGAAATTCAAATTGAATTTTACACTTCACAGGGTGATTTATTGTCCAGGGACCATTGGGTAATATTTCTCTCTTTCTTGATTAAATTTAGGGCTAGCTTTCCTTTACAACAGGTAGTCCTCAACATAGGACCATAATTGAGCCCAAAATTTCTGTTGCTAAGTGTTAATGTTGCTAATTTGTTTATGAGTTTTTGCCCCATTTTACAGCTTTTCTTGCCACTTTTGTTAGGCGAATCACTTCAATGGCTAGTAACACGGTTGTTTAAGTATGGATCAGTTGCCAAGCATCTGAATGTAAATTACATGACCATGGGGATGCTACAACAGTTATAAGTGTGAAAAATGGTCATAAGTCATTTTTTTCAGTGCTGTTGTAACTTCGAACGGTCACTAAATGAACCATTGTAAGTTGAGGATTACCTGTATTTTGACTAGCAGATATTATGTAGCAGGAAATATTTGGAATGCTATCATTTCTCACCTTGGTTCGTATATTTAATGGTGTTCTATGGGACTTTTTATTTTACCTTAATATATAATGAGATGGATATAATGAAATGGATCTGAATCATAGATAGTCTCATTTGCTTCTGGGCTCTAATATATATATTTTAAATAGAACTGCTAAGTTTTTTTAATTAAGACATTTGAATTAAGATCCTGATACATTGAGCAAATTGGATTAACTTGTATAGGAGATACATTTATCAGACTGTTTCTATCTATCTATCTATCTATCTATCTATCTATCTATCTATCTATCTATCTATCTATCATCTATCTATCTATCTATCTATCATCTATCTATCTATTATCTATATATATCCCAGAAAAAGATCATGTATTTAAATTTTGTTTTATTCGATTGATATGGTTGTAAGATTAATCAATTAATAAACTATAATGTATTATACTGTACCATATTATACCACAATATACCATACCATACTGCTGTGACTGTACATAGTTCATCAGACATAAATTTTATTTTTTTCTTGATTATTTACTAAAGAGGTTTTAATCTTTTCTTTCTCTTCACTATGGAAGTTTTTAAAATGTAATGGCTGAAATTTGTATATTTGTTTAAAATAGCACCATAATTACGTTACTATAGTGCACAATCTAAGTTTTTTTTCCCACAGCGATATGCAGTATAAATGTTTGGAAATTTAATTTGACACAGGTATAAAAACAAGAAGAACAGCATCATGTTATATATAAATCATGTTTAAAATAAAGTTTTTTTTTATTTTTTATGAGTAATTCTGTAGAAGTGCACCTTAGTGTTAAAGAAATTCAGGTATGTCATTAAATATAACAAAATAGGACATGGATGATACCCAGCATGCCTGCATCTGAGGTCCTGAACCCATTTACTGCAGAAGAAAATCTTACTGAATTCGAAAAATTCTGAAGAAATATTATAGGACTATACTTCATAGTATTTTCTTCTAATGTTCCTTTTCAAAGTTACAAAAGAAAATTAGTATGGCCTTCCTCATCTTGGTACTTCTGAGAATTAGGGAATTATAATTCCAGCAGCCAAGTAGGGATAGCATACATCAAGATTCTCAATCAGTACTTCAAGTCTGTGCTGGTATATGCAGTGAAAATCCGAATTAATGGTTTATATAGGAACTACAACCGGATGCCCTGCAGATGTGATGAGACCACTTCTACCTTTACAAGTTATGAGGTTAATGAACACTTGATTGGGGAAAGTGCATTGATGCTATTCTATTCTCTTCTTCACATATTTTTCCTTCATGGAAGTTTCAGTTCTGACATTTACCTGAGCCATGAAGACAGACACCTTTATTTTCTATGATCTTTAACTAGCAGACAATCAACATTATTGTTTCAAAAGTATTACAAGAATGGCTGCAGCAAAGAGCTCCCACAGTCCACAACCAAAATATGGCATTTCTCATCACATAATATAGCAATGGTGCCCAGCTTGGACAGATACAAAAGTGTTCTTAATACGAATTAATGAAGTATAAAACTAGTAAAGCTTCCTGGTATAGATGGCTATATATTACCTCTAGCAAATGGTGGCAGGAGGTTTCTCATTACCAGTTGCTAGGAAACCAAGGTGGGATAGTGTATTGTGCTCATATCTCACTTATTGACTTTCTACAAATACCTTGTTGATTAGTGAGAGAAAGAATCAACAGGGCTTTGATCTGACCAGCAGATCAGTATTTTTGACACTAAAATTGCTGTAAAATATAATCATTAGGAGGATATGATTTCATGTAGGTGTTTAGACATCCCCAGGTCAAATTGTACATCTCAACAAAGAAAGTTACTGACACAAAATGAAACACAAAACACATATAATTTTGCAAATATAAATGCATGCATATTATTTATGTGCATCTATTTACAGAATTGGAATAAGGAAACAATGACGATGATGTATTTGGTTGCTCTTTGAATTGCTTCCCTGTGACTTTTTTCTGTCTTTTTAATGTGAACGGAATGGTCCTAAAAGTTGAGTGATTTGTTAGGTCTATTGTTAGGACTTAATTCTTACAAACAGAGAAGAAGTGATAGAGGGAGTTGAAACTGCAGGAACCTTGGGTGAGAGTGACCATGTCATACTAGAATTCAACATAACACAAACACAAGCAATAGAACATAATGACACCAGAGTCTTGGATTTTAAAAGAGCTGATTTTAATAAACTCAGAGAGAACTTGGGAAAGATTCTATGGATGAAAATCCTAAAGTGGAAAACAACTCAAGAATCTTGGGAAACTCTGAAATGTATGATCATAGAAGCCCAGACCAGCGTAATACCACTGAGAAAGAAAAACAAGAAATCCAAGAAGAAACCAGCATGGCTGCACAAAGATCTCTCTGGCAAATTGAAAGAAAAAAAGGACAAGTACAAAAAATGGAAAGAAGGACATACAACTAAGACAGAATATCAGCAGATAGCCGGAATCTGCAAAGATGAAGTCAGGATAGCAAAGGCTCAGAACGAACAAAGACTTGCAACAAAAATCAAAGATAATAAAAAACTATAATAAAAAATGTTTCTTCCAACATATAAATAACAAGAAAAAAATCAAGGAAACAGTTGGTCCACTATAGAGAGAATATGTCAAGGAAGTAACAGGCAACAGAGAGAAAGCAGAACTGCTTAACTCATTCTTTGCACCCATCTTCACGCAAAAAGAAACTATAGCTCAACCCACCAAAAACATAACTGTAAAAGACAGACCAGAAATAAAAGTTAAAATAAGCAAAAAACATAGTAAGAGAACACCTGTCTGATCTTGATGAAAACAAAACACCGGGGCCTGATGGATTACATCCCAGAGTTTTAAAGGAGCTGGCAGAGGTAATCTCAGAACCACTACACCATATCTTTCAAAAATCCTGGAGCACCATGGAACTACCAGAGGACTGGAAAAGAGCAGATGTGGTTCCCATCTTCAAAAAAGGAAAAAGAAAACAGATCCAGGAAACTATAGACCAATCAGCCTAACATCAATACCCAGGAAGATACTGGAAAAGATCATTTAAAAAAAAAACCAGCTCTGCCAACATCAAGAAACAAGTAAAGTAATAGCTAGCAGTCATCACGGGTTTGTTAAGAACAGATCATACCAAACCAATCTTATTTCATTCTTCAACAAAGTAACTAAATTAGTAGACCAGCAAACTACTCTTGACATAATATATTTAGACTTCAGTAAGGCATTCGACAAGGTAGACAGACCACAACCTACTTCTTAGTAAGCTAGAAAAAAGTGGGATAGCACCACCACTAGATGGACTGGCAACTGGCTGACAAACTATACTCAACGAGTAGTACTTAATGGGTCTAATGGGTCATGGAGGGAAGTAAGCAGTGGGGTGCCACAAGGGTCTGTCTTAGGTCCTGTACTCTTCAATATCTTCATTAACGACTTAGATGAGGGAATAGAAGGGGAACTTACCAAATTTGCAGATGATACTAAGCTGGCAGGAATAGCTAACACCCAAGAAGATAGTCTCAAGATCCAGATGGATCTTGACAGACTAGAACACTGGGCCGTATCTAACAAAATGAAATTCAATGTAGACAAAAGTAAAGTCCTACACTTAGGCAAGAAAAACCAAAAGTACACATATAGACTGGGTGAAACCAGGCTCACTAGCAGTAACTGTGAAAGGGATCTTGGAGTCCTAGTGGACAACCAGCTAAATATGAGCCAGCAGTGTGCAGCAGCAGCCAAAAAAAGCTAATGCAATCCTAAGCTGCATTAACAGAGGGATACAATCAAGGTCAAGGGAGGTACTAATACCACTCTATAACGCCTTAGTAAGACCACACCTAGAGTACTGCATCCAGTTTTGGTCACCACATTATAAAAAAGATGTTGAGACTCTAGAAAAAGTATAGAGAAGAGCAACCAGGATGATTAAGGGACCGGAGGCTAAAACATACAACAAACAATTACAGGAATTGGGCTTGGCTAGTCTAGCAGAGAGAAGGACCAGGGGAGACATGATAGCA